CCAACGGATCAGCCCATGTCTTGGACGATCGATTCTACGTTGGTGGTCAAGTTTGCAATTCTTGACGTCCGTAGGTTATCTCTCAGGCAAGCTGCACGATTTGCTCATCTAATGTGGGAGCCATGAAAGGCATTGCGTCTGCACGAACTTACATCTGTTAATCTAATCCACTGTCGCAGTTGTACGTTCACAATGCCTCCTGCGAGGACACTACGCATAGCCTTTGCTCCTTGCCTGAGTATCATTTGTTGTCCTTAACTTTCGTAGCAGCTAAACATTCAGCGCTATAGGCCACGGCGGGTAGGACGACTGTGAATCGAGCAATTCCTTCTTCGACAACATGGGCAACCCACTACTGAGTATTGACGTTTTGATAAGATTAAAGCTGACCTGTGCCGCTTTCCTTTTCATGCCAATTTCTCTACCCAACTACAAAGGTTAACATAGCTCGTAACTTCTTTTCGAGTAAACAGAACCTTAAAGGTAATGTTCGTTCACAGCCTCCACTTCGCGTTGGAGGTTAACCACTAACTCGATGGCGAGAGATTCTTAAAATAAACTTTCCCATCTCCAAACTCTCTTATCAGTTTTAACGAATGATTTGATCAGTAAAATTTACTGTAGTTTTAACTTCGAAACGTCGAAAAATATTTTTACTGATACAGTGCTTTTAACACGACATTACCAAGGATATAGATAACTTTTGCTCATTTTTGAAAGTCGTTTAGGCATCACCCCGATCTTTTGTGCTAGGATTCCCGGTAAAATTACTGAATTGGTCAAACAAGCTGATAATCCGGCATTCAAAATACTACTAAAACTAGTATTAGATTTTTCTCTCACTTAAACGCAGATTACCGTATACAATTCGTAGAAAAATCACAATTGTGAAGTAAAAATTTAACATGAACAAAATAGTGCCTAACGCAAGTGATTTGCTCGAAAATGAAGGAACTCAGTGGCATTCTTATAATTTTCAAATCTGACGCATTCGCTAAAGGAAACAGACAGGAATGCTCATACTGATAGATTATAGGTAAACCTACAGTATGCAGGAAATGGGACAATCAATTTTAAAACGACTGATCAGTTCCCCTTCATCGGTCAGGAACAAACCTTGAATTCAAGACTTCCAAAACTTCGAAGGTGATTAGTTAATAAAATCATTTTCAATACAATTTATACCATGAGTGGAAAAAGCCATTGGATCATGTATGAAATCAAATAACGTAGTTGAAACCTGAAAGAGAAATTCGAATCAGCCATTGATTTTTCGCATAAACTGCTAGACGTGCTGCCAGTATTGCAGCACGTCTCGTACTCATTAGTTTCCATTATCAGAAACACAAAAATATACAATGCATTACATTTAGGTCAAATTTGTTTCAGTTTTTGTTTTGTCTGGCTCTTCTTTTTCAGATATGCCAGTATTCGAAAGACGGACAGAAACACGGGCAAACAGACTGGCAAAAATAGCGGTACGTATATGGCGTACTTCTGGTCATCAGGGAAGTACAACAGGGCCAAAAGAGAAGGATCGAAGAACGCGGTTTCAGAGTTCAAAAAAGCCGTTCGAGAGAGTGAGGCGGCTCGTTTGATATCGTACGAATCAAGAGCCGAAAGCACGCCTTCCAGAGAAGTGACCGCGACGCGGATGTTCTCACCGACGGCGTCGTTGATGACGATATTCGGAATTTGTTCCAGCAGAGACACCAACGACGTGACAGTCACAACCGAAGACATGGTATTTTCGG